AGTGCCGGGGATGAGGTGCACGCACGGCGCGCCCCCCCCCCCCCCCGTGCCGGGGATGAGGTGCACGCACGTCGCCCCCCCCCAGTGATGGGGATGAGGTGCACGCACGTCGCCCCCCCCCAGTGATGGGGATGAGGTGCACGCACGTCGCCCCCCCCCCCAGTGATGGGGATGAGGTGCACGCACGTCCCCCCCCCAGTGATGGGGATGAGGTGCACACACGTCGCCCCCCCCAGTGATGGGGATGAGGTGCACACACGTCGCCCCCCCCCCCCCCCCCCCCCCAGTGACGGGGATGAGGTGCACGCACGGCACCCCCCCTCCCCCCCCAGTGACGGGGATGAGGTGCACGCACGGCACCCCCCTCCCCCCCGTGATGGGGATGAGGTGCACACGTGGCGCGCGCGTGCGCGCGCCCCCCCGTGATGGGGATGAGGTGCACACACAGCACACACGGTGCCCCCCCAGTGATGGGGATGAGGTGCATATGCAGCACACACGGTGCCCCCCCCCCCCATTGATGGGGATGAGGTGCACGCACGGCATGCCCCCCCCCCCCCCCAGTGACGGGGATGAGGGGCACGCACGGCACCCCCCTCCCCCCCGTGATGGGGATAAGGGGCACACGCGGCGTGTGCGCCCCCCCCCCCCCCATGATGGGGATGAGGTGCACACACAGCACACACGGTGCCCCCCAGTGACGGGGATGAGGTGCACACACAGTGCCCCCCCCAGTGATAAATATGAGGTGCACGCATGGTGCCCCCCCCCCCCCCAGTGACAGATATGAGGTGTACACAGCACGCACGGTGCCCCCCCCAGTGATAGATATGAGCAGCACGCACGGTGCCCCCCCCAAAGTGATAGGTATGAGGTGCATATGCAGCACACACGGTGCCCCCCCCCCAGTGATAGGTATGAGGTGCATATGCAGCACACACGGTGCCCCCCCAGTGATAGGTATGAGGTGCATATGCAGCACACACGGTGCCCCCCCCAGTGATAGGTATGAGGTGCACACACAGCACGCACGGTGCCCCCCCCCCCAGGTGATGGGGATGAGGTGCACAGCACACACGGTGCCCCCCAGTGACGGGGATGAGGTGCACACACAGTGCCCCCCCCAGTGATAAATATGAGGTGCACGCATGGTGCCCCCACCCCGTGATGGGGATGAGGGGCACGCACGGTGCCCCCCCAGGAATGAGGTGCACACACGGTGCCCCCCCAGTGACGGGGATGAGGTGCACACGCGGTGCTCCCCCCCAGTGACGAGAATGAGGTGCACACATGGTGCCCCCCCCCCCCTGTGATGGGGGATGAGGTGCACACAGCACGCACGGCACCCCCCTCCCCCATGATGGGGATAAGGTGCACGCATGGTGCCCCCCACCAGTGTTAGTGATGAGGTGCATACACAGCACGCACGCGCCCCCCAACCCCCCAAGGGGATGGGGATGAGGGGCACGCACGGTGGCCCCCCCCCCCCCCAGTGATGGGGGATGAGGGGCACACGCACGGCGCCCCCCCCCCCCCCCGTGATGGGGATGAGGGGCACGCACGGTGGCCACACCCCCCCCCCCCCCGTGATGGGGATGAGAGGTGCACACACAGCACGCATGGTGCCCCCCCCCCCCCGTGATGGGGGATGAGGGTGCACACGGCACGCACGGCGCCACCCCAGGATGGGGGGATGAGGTGCACACACCCCCCCCCCCCGGTGCCCCCCCCCTGTGATGGGGGATGAGGTGCACACACTGCACGCGGTGCCCCCCCCCCCCCCAGTGATGGGGGAGAATGAGGTGCACACACAGTGCCCCCCCCAGTGATGGGGGATGAGGTGCACGCACCGCACCCCCCCCCCCAGTGACAGTATGGGGGTACATGAGGTGCACGGTGCCCCCCCCCAGTGACGGGGATGAGGTGCACACACGGTGCCCCCCCCCAGTGATAAATATGAGGTGCACACACACGCACGCACGGTGCCCCCCCCCCCCCCCCCCCCAGTGATAGATATGAGGTGCATACACACAGCACGCACGGTGCCCCCCCCCCCCCCCCCAGTGATAGGATATGAGGTGCATATGCAGCACACACGGTGCCCCCCCCCCCAGTGATAGGTATGAGGTGCACATGCAGCACACACGGTGCCCCCCCCCCCCCCAGTGATAGGTATGAGGTGCATATGCAGCACACACGGTGCCCCCCCCCCCCCAGTGATAGGTATGAGGTGCATATGCAGCACACACGGTGCCCCCCCCCCAGTGATAGGTATGAGGTGCATATGCAGCACACACGGTGCCCCCCCCCCAGTGATAGGTATGAGGTGCATATGCAGCACACACGGTGCCCCCCCCCCCCAGTGATAGGGGGATGAGGTGCACGCACCGCACCCCCCCCCCCCCCCCGTGATGGGGGATGAGGTGCACGGTGCCCCCCCCCCCCCCCCGTGATGGGGATGAGGGGCACGCATGGTGCCCCCTCTGTGATGGGGGATGAGGGGCACACGGCACGCACGGCGCCCCCCCCCCCCGGGAATGAGGTGCACGCACGGCGCCTCCCCCCCCCCCCCTCCTCAGTGACGGGGATGAGGTGCACGCACGGCGCCCCCCTCAGTGACGGGGATGAGGTGCACGCACGGCGCCCCCCTCAGTGACGGGGATGAGGTGCACGCACGGCGCCCCCCCCTCAGTGACGGGGATGAGGTGCACGCACGGCGCCCCCCTCAGTGACGGGGATGAGGTGACGGGCGATGAGGTGCACGCAGGTGCACGCACGGCGCCCCCCTCAGTGACGGGGATGAGGTGCACGCACGGCGCCCCCCCTCAGTGACGGGGATGAGGTGCACGCACGGCGCCCCCCTCAGTGACGGGGATGAGGTGCACGCACCCCCCCCAGTGACGGGGGGATGAGGTGCACGCACGGCGCCCCCCCCCAGTGACGGGGATGAGGTGCACGCACGGCGCCCCCCCCAGTGACGGGGATGAGGTGCACGCACGGCGCCCCCCCCCCCAGTGACGGGGATGAGGTGCACGCACGGCGCCCCCCCCCCAGTGACGGGGATGAGGTGCACGCACGGCGCCCCCCCCCCAGTGACGGGGATGAGGTGCACGCACGGCGCCCCCCTCCCCTCCGTGATGGTGATGAGGTGCACAAGTGGGCGCGTGTGCGCGCGCCCCCCCCGTGATGGGGATGAGGTGCACACACACGGTGCCCCCCCAGTGATGGGGATGAGGTGCATATGCAGCACACACGGTGCCCCCCCCCCCCATTGATGGGGATGAGGTGCACGCACGGCGTGCCCCCCCCCCCCAGTGACGGGGATGAGGGGCACGCACGGCACCCCCCTCCCCCCCGTGATGGGGATAAGGGGCACACGCGGCGTGTGCGCCCCCCCCCCATGATGGGGATGAGGTGCACACACAGCACACACGTTGCCCCCAGTGACGGGGATGAGGTGCACACACAGTGCCCCCCCCAGTGATAAATATGAGGTGCACGCATGGTGCCCCCCCCCCCAGTGACAGATATGAGGTGTACACACAGCACGCACGGTGCCCCCCCCAGTGATAGATATGAGCAGCACGCACGGTGCCCCCCCCCCAGTGATAGATATGAGGTGCACACACACAGCACGCACGGTGCCCCCCCCCCCCAGTGATAGGTATGAGGTGCATACACACAGCACGCACGGTGCCACCCCCCCCCCCCCAGTGATAGGTATGAGGTGCATATGCAGCACACACGGTGCCCCCCCCCCCCCCAGTGATGATAGGTATGAGGTGCATGATGCATATGCAGCACACACGGTGCCCCCCCCCCCCAGTGATAGGTATGAGGTGCATATGCAGCACACACGGTGCCCCCCCCCCCAGTGATAGGTATGAGGTGCATATGCAGCACACACGGTGCCCCCCCCCCCCAGTGATAGGTATGAGGTGCATATGCAGCACACACGGTGCCCCCCCCCCAGTGATAGGTATGAGGTGCATATGCAGCACACACGGTGCCCCCCCCCCAGTGATAGGTATGAGGTGCATATGCAGCACGCACGGGTGCCCCCCCCAGTGATAGGTATGAGGTGCATATGCAGCACGCACACGCACGGTGCCCCCCCCCCAGTGATAGGTATGAGGTGCATATGCACACGCAGCACGCACGGTGCCCCCCCCAGTGATAGGTATGAGGTGCATACACACAGCATGCACGGTGCCCCCCCCAGTGATAGGTATGAGGTGCACACACAACAGGCACGGTGCCCCCCCCAGTGATAGGTATGAGGTGTACACACAGCATGCACGGTGCCCCCCCCAGTGATAGGTATGAGGTGCACACACAACAGGCACGGTGCCCCCCCAGTGATAGGTATGAGGTGTACACACAGCACGCACGGTGCCCCCCCAGTGATAGGTATGAGGTGTACACACAACAGGCACGGTGCCCCCCCAGTGATAGGTATGAGGTGTACACACAGCACGCACGGTGCCCCCCCAGTGATAGGTATGAGGTGTACACACAACAGGCACGGTGCCCCCCCAGTGATAGGTATGAGGTGCACACACAGCACGCACGGTGCCCCCCCAGTGATAGGTATGAGGTGCACACACAACAGGCACGGTGCCCCCCCAGTGATAGGTATGAGGTGCACACACAACAGGCACGGTGCCCCCCCAGTAATAGGTATGAGGTGCACACACAACAGGCACGGTGCCCCCCCCCAGTAATAGGTATGAGGTGTACACACAACAGGCACGGTGCCCCCCCAGTGATAGGTATGAGGTGCACACACAGCACGCACGGTGCCCCCCCAGTGATAGGTATGAGGTGCACACACAACAGGCACGGTGCCCCCCCAGTGATAGGTATGAGGTACACACACACGCACGGTGCCCCCCCCAGTGATAGGTATGAGGTGCACGCACGGTGCCCACAGTGTGTGGAGGCGCACGGTGCTCACAGGAGTAGGAGGAGTGAGTGATGGGACTATAGCAGGCTCTCACCGTTTGTCCTCTAGGAGTAGGCGCAGAGTCTCTCCTCCGTCCATGTGTTGAGGGAAGTTTGTCCTGGTGGTAGCCCGGTGGTAGCCTGCGTCTGGTCTGTACTCCGCTCTGTACTCAGCCCCGAGTCCCACTCTCTTTATCTCCTAGGAGTTCGTGTGAATGGAGCGCCGAGTGCAAAGAGCCGGCTGCAAAAGGCTCCGAATTCCCAAACAGCGCCTCCCGTGTAGAAGCCGGAGACCCCCTGTGTGTTCCTCACCTCCCACCAATCAGCGCTGCACACGGAGCCCTCCATTGCTGTACCTGAGTGAGACACACTGCACTCGCCTTAATCAGGACCATCGTGTGCCTTACCTGTGCTGCCTGAAATCCGTGTGCCATCACTGAGCCCCTTCCCTCACACTTGCCGCCCCTCTGAAAAGTGATCCGCGCGGGTGGGTCATATGTTGCCTCATTGTTGCCAGTTTTAACCCTGTAACGTCCGTGCCACAGCTGCACCTAATATGTTTTGCGGCCCCCTCATTCGCTGGAATGGGTCATGTTTGGCAGCAGTACTGCTAGGGTTGCCACCTCATCCTTTACCCCAGGTTCACATATGTCCAGGCCGTAATTTGCGCGGGCACGAGAGCCCACTCATTTGAATGGACCCCCCATGCCCTGGGGCACACAGGGATGAAGTCCCTGCACTACTTGGGAAATCGTACCAGAACTGAGGTTCCCACTATGGTTGTGATTTCCAGGGCAGGCGATGTGCCATTAGAATGAATGGCACCCACCTGCGGGTCCGCAGTCCTCTGTGTGGGTGGTGCAGCTGCAGGTATTTGTGCAGGACCAATCGCACAGATGTGGACCAAGGCTTAGGGCTGGTTCACACTATAGAAACACAGTCTAGATGCGTTCTGGATGCACATTTTTGGCACATTCTGGTGCGTTTTTTATGCTTTCTGGTTCATTTTTTCCCCCTTTTTCTTCAAGGCTATTTTCACACTGATCCTCCGCAAAAACCACAGCGATAAAGGACGCATGACTTAAAAACTGCACGAAAAAACGCTTCTCAAAGGCGTAGTGCCTTATCTGCGTTCAATTAGCCCCAGAAGCTGTGTAATTAATATGTGTTCAGGTTTAAGGGCCAGTTCACACTACATACATTTCAGGGGCTTTTTTTCTGCATCCAAAATGCACAGAAAGTAGGTTCTATGGTTGTCAGTGTCATAGATCACATCAGTGCTTGCAGTTCCAGTGTGTTCCAGTGGCAGAAAAAAAGTAGAACAGAGTGCATTTTTTCTGCACAGAACTGTACTGGAACGTGGTAAAACGCATCAAAAATGCACTGGAACGCATCAAAATGCACAAAAAAAAACGCACTGAAATACACATGTTCCTGTTTAAATTGAAGAAAAAGGGTGAACAATTAACTGAATGGCAAAAAAACCCACACTGGAATGCATCAAAAAAGCATCAAAAACGCACGTGCAGAAACAAATCTGGACTGCGTTTCTATATAGTGATCCGGCAATGAATATCATAGTTCACATCAGTGCTTCCAGTGCGTTCCGGTTGCAGCAAAAAAAAAGTAGAACTGAGTGCATTTTTTCTGCACAGAATTGTACTGGAACACGGTAAAAGGCATCAAAAACACACTGGAACGCGTCAAAAAAGCACCAAAAACGTGCATGCAGAAACTAAGCTGGACTGCGTTTCTATAGTGCTTGCAGTTCCAGTGCGTTCCGGTTGCAGAAAAAAAAAAGTAGAACAGGCTGCATTTTTTCTGCACAGAATTGTACTGGAACACAGTAAAATGAATCAAAAATGCACTGGAACGCATCAAAATGCACCAAAAATGTACTGGAATGCACCAAAAACGCACTGGAACGCACATGTCCTAGTTTAAATTGAAGAAAAAGAGAGAGGAAAAAATTAACCGGATGACATAAATAAACGCACTGGAACGTGTCAAAAAAGCACCAAAGATGTGCATGCAGAGAAACTAATCTGGACTGTGTTTCTATAGTGCTTGCAGTTCCAGTGCGTTCCGGTTGCAGAAAAAAAAGTAGAACAGGCTGCATTGTTTCTGCACAGAACTGTACTGGAACGTGGTAAAACGCATCAAAAATGCACCAGAACGTACTGGAACGCATCAAAATGCACAAAAAAACGCACTGGAACGCATCAAAAAAGCGCATGCAGAAACTAATCTGGACTGCATTTCTATAGTGCTTGCAGTTCCAGTGCGTTCCGGTTGCAGAAAAAAAAGCGGAACAGGCTGCATTTTTTCTGCACAGAACTGTACTGGAACGTGGTAAAACGCATCAAAAATGCAACGGAACGCACTGGAACGCGTCAAAAAAGCATCAAAAATGCGCATGCAGAAACTAATCTGGACTGCGTTTCTATAGTGCTTGCAGTTCCAGTGCATTCCGGTTGCAGAAAAAAAAAGTAGAACAGGCTGCATTTTTTCTGCACAGAACTGCACTGGAACGCATCAAAATGCACTGGACCGCACATGTTCCAGTATGAATTGAAGAAAAAGAGAGGGGAAAAAATTAACTGGATGGCATAAAAAAACACACTGGAATGCGTCAAAAACGCGTTCAAATCTGGACTGTGTTTCTGTAGTGTGAACCGGCACTCAATGTCATAGTTCACATCAATGCTTGCAGTTCCAGTGCGTTCCAGTTGCAAAAAAAAAAAGTAGAACAGGCTGCATTTTTTCTGCACAGAACTGTACTGGAAGGTGGTAAAATGCACCAAAAACGCAGTAGAACGCAATAAAAACACACTGGAACGCACATGTCCCAGTTTGAATTGAAGAAAAAGAGAGGGGAAAAAAATTAACTGGCATAAAAAAAATGCACAGGAACGCATCAAAAAAGCATCAAAAACGCACATACAGAAACGCATCTGGACTGCGTTTCTATAGTGTGAACTCCACTTCCAGTGCGTTCCCAGTGGTTGCAGAAAAAAAAAAACAGGCTGAATTTTTCTGCACAGAACTGTACTGAAACATGGTAAAACGTATCAAAAATGCACCGGAACGCATCAAAATGCACTGAAACACACCAAAAACGCACTGGAACGCACATGTCCCAGTTTAAAATGAAGAAAAAGGGGAAAAAAAAATGGAAATGGATGTCATGAAAAAACGCACTGGAATGCGTCAAAAAAGCTTAAAAAACGCACACGCAGAAACGAATGTGGACTGCGTTTCTATATTGTGTACTGGCACTCAATGTCATAGTTCACATCAGTGTTTGGACTTCCAGTGCGTTCCGGTTGCAGAAAAAGAAGTAGGACAGGTTGCGCACTGGAACGCACCAAAAAACGCACTGGAAAGCACATGTCCCAGTTGAAGAAAAAGAGAGGGGAAAAAATTAACTGGATGGCATAAAAAACGCACTGGAAAGCGTTTAAAAAAAAAGCATCAAATACAGAAAGGCATCCGGAACGCATCTGGACTGCGTTTCTGTAGTGAGAACTGGCCCTTTAGGAGATATTCACATTTGACATCACTTGGGCATGCACTCTGCACTCTGGATGGCACACCCAAGTATGCCATCCATTCAGAGCACTCTGCTGCGATTGTCACTCCTGTGCTTGTGAGATGCGCGTGTTACATGCACTAGCACATTTAGATACACTAACATACCGAAGCCAAACTCAGTTCACACTGCAGTTACGACGACAACAGTTTTGTTCTTCTAGGGATAGAGGTTTGGGGGACGGATAAATAAAAGCTGACCATTGTAAGCGCTCCATCAGTGGTAAAGAGTTTGTCTCAATGCTCAAAGTGCTACGTTTGCAGGCTAGCTTGTTCTGTTGAAAACAACAGACTTACTGGCTGGATCACTAGATGAAAATAAAGGAAAGGGAAGCCTAAAGAAAAATATTGCAGCCGTCACATCATTAACTGGTAATCTGCAATACAATAAATGCTTGCTGTGGGGTTTAATACAGCTTTTATTTTATACAATTTCCATCAATGATTAGCACTTCCACCTGGCAGTACTAGGGTTGTTGGTTCGAATCCCAACCACGGCACCACCTGCCTGGAGTTTGCATGTTCTCCCTGTGCGGGTTTCCTCCGGGTACTCCGGTTTCCTCCCACGCTCCAATCATGAATGGAGGTGAAGTTTTGGGGGTGGCTCAGTTTGGCAGCTTTGCCCTGGGCACTGGATGACCTTATTCCGGCACTGATGTGTGACTAGAAGGAAGTCAGACTTGCCTGCAGAACCTTTGACTATCTAAGAGATGAGCTACAAGCAGGGGCGGACTGACAACTCATGGGGCCCCCGGGCAATAGGGGATCATGGGGCCCCTGTGTCCTTGCCCAAACTCAAAAAAGTCTATGAAAAAGGTACCAGAGGCATCTTATGGGGCCCCCTACTGACCCCGGGCCCTCGGGCAGTACCCGAGTTTCCAAATGGTCAGTCCGCCCTGGTTACAAGTGTAAAGTGGCACATGATCACATGACCTGTTGTTAAGAAGTGCATTCCACCCTATTCTGTCTCCTTTGTCTATAATGCTTATTACACATTTCTTTATTACAGAATTCATGTACTACTATATATTTATACAGTGGGCATAAAAAGTCTACACACCCCTGTTAAAATGTCAGGTTTTTGTGATGCAAAAAAATTAGACAAAGATAAATATTTCAGAACTTTTTCCACCCTTAATGTGACCTATAAACTCAGTTGAACAACAAACTGAAATATTTTAGGTGGAGGGAAGTAAAAATAAAAAACTAAACTAATATGGTTGCATAAGTGTGCACACCCTTAAATTAATACTTTGTGGAAGCACCTTTTGATTTTATTCCAGCACTCTTTTTGGGTATGACTCTATCAGCATGGCACATCTTGACTTGGCAATATTTGCCCACTCTTCCTTGCAAAAAACACTCCAAATCTGTCAGATTGTGAGGGCATCTCCTGTGCACAGCCCTCTTCAGATCACCCCACAGATTTTCGATCGGATTCAGGTCTGGGCTCTGGCTGGTCCATTCCAAAACTTGAATCTTCTTCTGGGGAAGCCATTCCTTTGTTGATTTGGATGTATGCTTTGGGTTGTTGTCATGCTGAAAGATGAAGTTTCTCTTCATGTTCAGGTTTTTAGAAGAAGCCTGAAGGTTTTGTGCCAA